GTACGGCCATCCTCCTTGCTTTCCAGCGTGCTCACTTTACGTCAGTGAAACGGTCGTTTTGTGAAACTTTCGAAAAGTGCACCTGGAATGGCTTGTGAGTATTTGGAAGCAGGCGCCCACGTTCTCGACGCCGTTGACTTATTCATGAGGGCGGGTGTCACTGTTTTCTTATCTTTTCTATTTTCCTCGGAAAATCCGATTTGCTTCAGCTCGTGGCGAAAACCCAGCCATGTTTGTGTTTCCCGACGACAACACCGCGGGCCCACTGCACTCTCGGGGGTCGGCTCGGCCGACGTGCGAAAGAGTTTTGCAGAAACGTCTGCCGCATGGGCTCCACACGGCGGCTTAGGTGCATTTCAGGGAGAGCACCATTTGTCGTCGCGAGCTTGTTACCTGGTGGCAAATTGAATGCCACTTTTTGTGAATATATATATATATATATATATATATATATATATATATATATATATATATATATATATATATATATATATATATATATATATATATATATATATATATATATATGCGAGGATTCAAAAGAAACGCCGCCAGAAGCTGCGAAGTTGTTTTCGGCGAGTCTCCAAGTTGGAAGGCCCCTCGCTTGCTCATTCACGGTTGACACGAAATTTTCTCGTGCACACACTCGTCCAGGTGGAGGTGCACACTCTGCGCTTTCTTTGAAGCCAAATCGATGACAAACACGTGCTCGCCAAAACTGCGAGCGAGTGGAAGTCTGTAAAGTGTAACCGGCATGAAAACAACGAGGTTTGAGGGAGAAAAATAAGCGAGCGTCGATAAGCGGCCTCAAAGCGAAGTGTCTGAATCGACGGTTGATAAGCGCGAGGAAAACAGCGTCATCACGGAGGGCATTGTCGAAGTGAATTGTCGATGCGCTGTCAGGGGTGTCGGTTTCGGTCTCTCCAGCTAAATTAGGCTCATTGCATCTATCCGCGGTGATTACCAGTCACCCTTTTTTCCGAGATTTCAAAATGTCTATGGACTATTCGTATAGGAAGGGCTTGGATTCGCCTATTCGACTCGATGGCTATCGCCACTAGTTAAAAAGTAATTGTGTTGATTTCCCTAATTGCTGCTGTACTCAATGTTTGCATACGCATCTGAAGATGCTATCTGCCACAGGAAAGGCAATGCCACAAGTAGCACGCAGATACCACCTTTCTGCATTTATTAAAGAATATTGTGCGCATTTCTTGAAATACCCTGTATAGTATGCGTCGCTCTCCTGTGAACTGCATCATTTTGCTGTCTTGTTAGATTACCTGTTTTTTTGTTTTGTTTTGTTTTTTCGCAATACTTCTAGATGAACCGATAGACTTGCTTTGCTCTCTCCTCTGTGAGCTTGTGTGCCCTGCGGCTCCACGTGTGCTTTTAAACTTGCAACTATATAATTTCCCACCTGCATGGTCCTTTGTGACTGCAGTATAGTGTAAATGAAAAAATAAACAAAAAAAAAGAAATTACGCGTTCAAACAAGCAATGGCGCTTTTGGCCAGCCGTCGGTTCGCACCACCTGCGTACCTTGTGATTCACCCAAAATTTCGAAAGCGTACACAATTTATGAGAATAAAATTTAAGCACAAGATATTTTTGCATGATTTCAGAGAGCTGAGTTAGCAGCGATAAGTTTGTGGTGTCGGAGCTCAAACACGGCGACATGGTTTTGGTATTCTACGTCCATGCGCCTGCATTAAGACACTGTACGGCTTCACAGATGTGACGTCCACAGAATTGTACGCATGCCAAGCGACCCGCCATTTCCGGCTCACAAACGGTACGAAGAGCGAAAACATTCCTGATCAAATTCGGTGCTCGCGTAAGCGCGCGGTCTTTATCGTTCACCACGAAACGGCTACCATATCTCATTTTATGTAGGATGCTAACAGTTAGAAACGTAGGGAAACAAAAAACGACGAGGTCATTGCCGATCTTGCTCGTTTTTCACGGAAATGACTTTAGGGCCATTGTTTCTCGAGATCTATCTATCTATCTATCTATCTATCTATCTATCTATCTATCTATCTATCTATCTATCTATCTATCTATCTATCTATCTATCTATCTATCTATCTATCTATCTATCTATCTATCTATCTAACGAACCGTTCCAGTCCTGTTTCACGTTCCGTCTTGTATGGTTGCCTTGCACATGCTCACGCTGACGAAGCAGCCGGCCTGCTGCTGGTGCTCAGCCGTGCAAGTAGACTAACATGATGACTTCTTCCGCACCGGCTGCCGTTCGTGTTGCTGCTGTGCGGAGCATCCAATATGCATGGCAGTGGGGCGGCGCCAGCCCGTGAATGCGCAATGAGCACAGGGAGGTGGAGGGGAGATGGGGCGAGTCAGGCTAGCACCTACTAGATGTTCACAACGAGCCCCCTCTCCAACGTCTGTCCGCCCCTTCCTTGTCTTCTAAACTTTGTTAGCCGAGCCACCAGACGGCTTGTTGCTTGCAGGTGTATGTTGCGCTCTATCTACGACGCTTACCTTTCTTGCCAAGGGGATAGAGAGATGACCGCTGTCGGCATAGCGATCAAGCTGACCACCCTGGTCAGCTGACGCTGCTGGCGAACATTAAGGGTGGATCGCTGTTGTTGATAGGAGCAAAGTACCTTGTACAATTACGAGCGACTATATTTGTCTCTGTACAGGGAGCTGACTTAGTCTACTCTGTGCCTTCGTCGTCGTCGTCGTCGTCGTCGTCGTCGTCGTCGTCGTCGTCGTCGTTGTTGTTGTTGTTGTTGTTGTTGTTGTTGTTGTTGTTGTTGTTGTTGTTGTTGTTGTTGTTGTAGAGACAGAGAGAGGGAGAATAAAATGAGAGCAAGGCAGGGAGGTCAACCTGATTTGTAGCATCCGGTTTGCTATACTATATGGGGATGGGAAAAAGAATAATGATGTGAAAGAAAGTAGTAGTAGTAGTAGTAGTAGTAGTAGTAGTAGTAGTAGTAGTAGTAGTAGTAGTAGTAGTAGTAGCCCGTGACCAGAGCTTGGAGTGACTAAAGAATAATGCAGAATGATAATGATTATTATGCTCGGAATGATGCTGCTGCTAAATGGTTATGATGCTTGAAATGTGTAAGCTCGTGTATTTCAAATCTATGGGTGGATTTACAGCACGCGATCTCTCTAGCCGATCACATATACTCAAGCACTTACGGCTTCTCTATCCGACTATGGTCACGGCTTGGAACTGGCTGATTTCTTTTGTTTTGTTCTTCAAACAGAGCTTTTTAGAAATCGCATTAAGCACACTGCGCAACCAACTACGCCTGCACAGATCAATTAAATTACCTGAAAAAGCCCGTACTGCATGTCCGACAAATCACAGTATCCAGATAGCTAGATATTCGCTTTATGGTAAGCTTCTACTGTTGTCCGCAGAAGAATGGGCGTTGCAATCGCGAAATTGACTCTGGAAGGTATCCAAGTCACGCATGCTTAGCAGAAATTCCAATTCCGGCGAGAGTTTCAAATATTTACCTCCAAGTGTGCTGAAGATGTTTTATGGTTCCAGTTAGAATTGATCCAAACTTGTAACGAGATACTTTTTTTGTAAATTGCAAATCTAAACGTCGGTAGTTCTCGTAGAAGACTGCAGCACATATTTGGAAAGCACATCTAAGCTTGAGGTTTTGCTGAACAGACAAGACCTTCATCAAAGTTAACTCATTATTGCAAGGCGGACTGTGGGTGAAGGATCTCATGCATTATGCATAATTTTAATCAGTGGTCCAAACGTTCCGATTCGTCATGAAGTTAACTTACACGCCTTCTTGATATGTACACGCACAAGTACTACGGTCTACTGTGGTTTCATTGCTACGATCTATAATGTAAAACATTACGGTTGGTAAGACGGAATCGTAGGGTCTGTCGTCACGAAAGCGCTCTCTTTGGATGCGTTCCAGTGAGTGCAGTAAATATTAGGAGGAGGAATGTGCTTCAGATCTTCCGCATCCGCGATCCACTGGAGATGGAATGCGAATGGTGTGCCATCTAGGCAGCCTTGCCTCGGGCGGCCTGGGATGTATGGTACGCATACTAACGCGCCAAGTTACGCCCCATTCTGGCCGCTAGCCATGCCTATTTGAGTCGGGATGGCTTTCTGGCCCTCCAATACTCAATAGGTAAGATCCTAGCGTAGTCATTGCGGACAGTTTTTGCTTGTAGGCTTAGCCCATCTGTATATCTATCAACATTTCTCATTTTTCTCGCTGGCAGTGAATACTAAAATTACCCCAGTGCGCTTTCTCTTTCTTAAAGCAAGATGGTCGAAATGAGCGGACATGGATGCGAAATACGCGATGAATTCAATGTTGTAAAAGAAAGTATTCATGAACTATGGAGAGCTCAACTATAACGTCTTTCTAAAGAGCGTCAGCTGACGCCTTCTGCAGGCACATGCAGTAACCAGATTCGCACTGAGGGGTTTATTTTCATCGTGTAGCCTGCGTATAGGTCTGCAAAATGAATGGGGGTCACTCAGACCCGCTCTAGAAATATATTTATTGCTTAAGACTCACTCAAAGTCAGACTCACGGAAATGTTTCTCAGCCCGACTCACTCGGACTCTGAGTCCCCGAATCGCTAAAATTTTACTCAAGTGGACTGACTCGGGCTCAGACTCACGCCTCGTTCTGTGTTTGAGTGAGTCTGAGCTAGTCGACTTACGAGTGAGTTTGCCGACCTATTCGCGGAAGTCATTAGTTCGTGTCATCGGCTGATAAAATGAAACGAATTGGGGCTCCTTTCGCAAGTTAACCACGAGACCAAAACAACTGTTCCTGCGTACTTAAGCAGCAGGTAAGGCGCAGGCTTCATTTCGTATTTGGAAGGTTTCTTTCCTTTTTTATTGAAATGATATTCTCTAGCCTAATACTGAACTCGCAGTGTGTCTGGCCCTGTGTGTCTAGGTTGGATTCTCTGCGAAGCACTGATGTAGCGATTGATTATCCCTTTTTCTTGTGTTCTTTTTGCAGTTACACAATTTCTTCCACGACCTCCTAACCCACCTCTCCAACGTGAAGCCCTCCGTAGCAGCAGCCATATCGAACAGCCCGGCGCAGTCTCTCAGGGGTAAGCACGTGCAGCATGTATACAGGCCCAAGTAACCAGGATAGTATCATTAACAGCCTTTCTAGTGCTTCACCGCTATACAGCAATGTAAACCCATACAAACACTTATCGAATCCTGCAAATTTCAAAATAGTGGCCTACGTTAGTTTCGATATTATCCAAAATTTCGAAAAATAAAATAAAAATAGCGGGCAATTTTCGCCGTGTTTAAAATGGATTTGAAAAATATTGCCATGTATTTATGACGACACTGAACGAGAAAAAAAAAGGAAAAGTATAAGATCTCAAAAGATTACTCCAGTCTATTTAAATTGTTGATATCAGTCCATAGCTAACTATATCTATATGTCGTATACTCAATGTTGATATGTCTCCTTCTCCACAATAGCCACCGTAATGTTCTCGTATGACGCAGAGATATATTTTGTCCAATTATGTGCTTAACTTGTTCTGGCATCTCGTCACGTCGTGGCACGTCACGACTGGATGCCTTGACTTCTTGTTGCGGTTAAATGTTTTTGTGTAACTTTGCTGGAAGAACCGGAAATGATAGACAATTCGGAAAGCCCGCGCTTAAAGAATAACAGCGCTTGATGCCGTGTGTTCGTGACAACGGGTATTCCTTTCCAACTTGCATCGCGTGCGTTGTCTCTCTTTCGCGGCCATGAAAAGATGTAGCCGTGCTGCAGGCTTGCCGAGAGCACAACTTTTTCAGTGCTTTAAGTCATTCAGTTTTATGCAGGTAATATGTCCGTTCCACCAAAGCGCCACGAAGTTTCTTAAGTTCGAGAGGTAACATCTCTGTCCATTTAGCCTTTCTTCTCGTGTAAGTTTGGAAACTTTGGAAAGAAATGCTTATCGAGTGCGATAAAATGGCTTTTAAACTGCGCAATTGAAGTGAGAACCTGTTTCGTCGTTATTGTAAATTGCAGTAGGTGTTTTTGTTCAGGCGATGGAGGTTCCACACTCGACCGGAAATGATCTCAGGGACAATGGGTATATACGGTCACATCACCTTGCTCAAATGCATAACTGATTAACTTTCGCTTATAATAACGTCATTTTCTACTTTAAGTTTTCAAAAAGGAAGCGTCTGTTTGGCTTCGTGCGAAAGAGCGCTTCGCCGACTACGCCTCACTTCTCTGAACTATCAGCCGATGACGGCCGTGTTTCTGGCCGAACAGCAATTTTAAGATGCGTCGCAACCATCCACGTGGTGGTGGTGCGCTTCCTGCAGAAACATGACCTCTATGGTTTAGTTATAACGTACGTACAGGCAAACCAAACGTAACAGAAATCATAGTATAACGTACACACAAACCAAAGTAAAGAAACATGGAAATAAAAAGAGACATCAGGAAAACAGGCCACACAATTGTCATACTCTTAGGAGAAGAGAAAATTAAGTGATAAGGTGGGAGAAGATGAAAAAAAACAAAATCGTGTATCTTCTTTTTCTAAAAATCTGCTGAGGTGAGGCACTTTCAAAAGTTTGTATAATGCAAAGTTCAGATGAAAGGCCGTGCATCGTGTTACGGAGAACGAAGAGGTCCCCGCCTCTGTGTATCCTGCGTGTATCCCGAGCCCCAGCCCTCGATGTTTTTTTTTTTTATCCAGATGGGTAATCGTGTCACGTCGTTGATGAGTTCATCAATCTATCGTTTGTGCCGCCCTATTCGGGCTTAAGCTTCGAAAAATCTTGCTGCAGTCGAAGCAACTTGCTCAGCCTGAGCCGTTTAGATGGAGTGATCTCTCACCGAAAAAATAAAAATAGTTCAAGTGTATTTCTCGTCAAAAGCAACAGCACGAGAAAATACGAATGCATCTGCCTTCTTTTGGCGGTACATACTTACGTTCGCCATTTTCCGAAGTCCTGCGTCAGCAAAAGAAAGTTTAGAATACATAGGAAAAGCGTTGGAAGAGGCAAGCAGCAGAGCGTAGCGGGCAAGTTGAGAGGTACAAATTTGATAAGCTTGTCTCAAAGCCCCCGCTCATCAAGCTTGCTGCTGAGAAGCAAAAATAGATAATCAAGTAAGTAAGTAAGTAAGCAAATAAATAAATAAATAAATAAATAAATAAATGTTTGAACAAGAAACCAACTGGCTACGCGCGCACTTCTTGCGGTCCCTGTGTTTCACTCATCGCCGTTGGTACACTCTGTGTTTTCAAATTGGTGTTAACCATGCCCCCCCCCCCCCCCTTAGAAGGCATTGCTCACTCCTAAGCTCTTCCCCTTAGATCCAGACTTCATTTGAGTCCGCCGCGGTGGAACAGTGGCTATGCTGCTCGGCTGCTGACCCAAAGGTCGCGGTTGCGATTCTGGCCGCGACGTGAGCATTTCGATGGATGCGAAATGGTAGGGGCCCGTTTACTGTGCAATGTCAGTGTACGTACTACAGATGATAAAAATATCCGGAGGCCTCCACTATGGCGTCTCTCATAATCATGTCGTGGTTTCAGGATGTAAAACGCCAGATAACATTATTGCACTTCATGATGTCCCATCGCTCACAAATACACATGTCATTTCGTAACTCTTTGTCGTCTCAACAAATTTTATGCGGCAGGAAAACGTAGCTCCCGAAATCATCGCTAAGTTCTGTCCGCTGTGTAGTCTGTGTTTAGGACCTTTGCTACGCTGCAAAGGTCCTAAAATTTACTTTAACCCACGAACAATATTGTTATATCGCCTCCTTTTGCGTCAGTGCTAGCACCTGCCTAAATAGCTGTTTACTTACTAAATGCAGGAATAGGCGTGCGCAGTGTTCCCCTTCAGAGGGGCGTTGTCGCTGCAGCGCTCCCCCCCCCCCCACCTCTCTATCATGTCAAATTTATGGGGCTGACTTTGCGCCCCCGGTCATCTTAAGCGAATGGGGAGGGCAGCCACCCCCACGTCTTTACCCCCTCCCCCCGATCCCTGCAAGTGCGCCGTGGCAAGCGTTTATGCAACGTTGACCGTCGCAAACTCTACGGTAATCGAGTAAAGCCATGTCTGAAAAGCCCTTACAAAACTCTTACGAACGAGACCTTCTATTATGTAGGCTGAATGGCCTCCGACATTAGACTCAGCGGTGTCTGTTCCAACGAGAGGATGCAGCGTACGTGACTGTCATTCGTGCAGATATGTGGCGCTCTTGTTACGAGCGAAGTGGCGGCCACTGCCGTGGGAGTGGCCCTAAATCGCAAGGGGAACGGTGCAAGCGTTAAGTGGCTCAGAATGCGTTACGCCTAAGTTGAACCTCGAGCCTCTTCTTACGGTGATCCTCTAAATGTCGCTGCCGTCGACGTTGCTTCTCCGTATCAACAATTTTGAGCAGGAATGCCGAAGCTATGGAACCCGTAAGAAAATCAGGGCTGAGCATGACAAGAATGCCCTTCTACTGTCTGCCAATGACCACCCTAAGCCCAACATGTGGCTGAATGGAACTCTTATCAAAGTATCAGTACGTGTGGGTGAACACGTAGCTGGCTTTCGCTAAGAAGCGACTGACGGGCCACTTGGTAGCAGTGCATGCAATTAGTGAGAAGGAGTATAAATATTGCGGATTTGCGAGCCAGATAAACATTCGTGATCTCCACTGAGTGAAAATTATCTACTGAATTGAACGCAGCAGGTAATAGTACAGGATATGTCTCACAGCTGGACGGAAGTCTAGTGGCATAGAGGATTGCGCAACCCATGGTGCACATATACTATAACAGCTCGCAAGAAAAGTTTTCTGTCGTTCCTTTTAACAGTTTGTTCGTGTCTCTTGTTAATTTATTCGACCTTATGACCAACTGAAGCCGAGGGTACCCACCAGACAGGCCGGTTAAGATCCTCTCAAGCAAGAGGGTATTTGTTTTTCTTGAGGCGGTATTAATAGACAGATGGTGCGAGCTAATTGTTCAAGAAAGCACGTATTGCGCCTCACAAGGAGACGTGTGGTGGAGGGGGTGTGGGAGGTGTATACACAAACATGCTTTTGCGTACGTGACTGGCTTCGAGCAGGTCGTCCGAAGGAGCTGGAGAAGAGTGAGCTGGCCGAGCAGGAGCTGTGGCGCAACACGAACCCCGACGAAGTGGTCATCGAGGAGGCGTACAGGGGTCCGCACCTGCGGCTCCCGCTCACCACCAATCAGGTGGACGCGCTCATACAGGGCTTCAAGGACCGCAGGGTGAGAGAAAAAACCTAAAACTAAAGATTGATGCTGAAATTACTGGTCGTGCAAACACGGACACAACAGAGAAGTCAGGAGGACATCACAAACGTATTGGCGTTTCTGGGGTCTTGACTTCTCTCTTGCGGCCGCGTTCGCACGACTTTTCTTATTAATACGTACCAACTAGTCCAACCCCATGTTAATCTGCAAATTGAACTTATTCTTACAGTCAGTAGCAAAAGTTTAGAGACACCTACGCCTGAGAAAACTTCGAATTTCTCGAGGATTTCTCAATGTATCAGGTCGAAGTGCACAGTAAATGTTGTTAGCGCGTATTAACACATGCATGGAATCTCAATTCAAGTCTGCCTGCTGAGCAGCGAGAATACTCAGTTTTTGTAGTCTCGTGGTCCTTAAACTTCTGACGCTGACCGTACGCATTCATCTTGTTGATTGTGTAATGCTCCAAAAATCAAGGGTCGATGAAGAAAGGCACAAACACAAAAATACAACCCTTATATATGTGCCTCTGATGAAAGAACGTGGTCAGGGTTGCAATCAGCGCTATTCTTGTGTTACCTCTTCTTCGGCCGTTGTGCAAAATCTCTGTCGTATTCAAACGAGCATTGGTGAAAGTCGGTGACATGGGTTTGTGAAAGGTGAGTTAACGCAAGTAAAGCTCATGCTGACCCCGAAATTATGAAAGAAAGTCACGCGAACTCCTTGGGAAAAGAAGTATCCGTGAGATAAACTGGGCCTGGTCGGGGTTTCGAAATCCACGCTCCTTTATGAAAACTATCACCGTGGCAACAGAGCCGATCAAGGGGCATATTGTTAGGCAGTAAAGAAGGAAGAAACAGGAGATAGTTGTTTGGCGGTAACAATAAACCTTTCTTTGCTGTAGAAGGTGCAGATAAAGAGCGAAATTATCGGCTACGCGAAACTGCGAAACTTCGCTTGAACAAACGTGTTCATTTTTATGCGGCCAGGAGCACCTTTTTCTATCTTTCGTCGGTAGCTGAACAAAAAGAACAGAGTGTGATAGAAATAGGGAACGTCGTTGCTCAAATTTAATGGAGTAGAATTGAACCGCACGCTGACGTACCTCTGTTTGAAATACTGTATACGGTCATGAAATTTTAATGAAATTTTATAGAGTGGCTCTAGACGCCAGACTGAGTTTGTTGCGTAGAAAGCATTTCACTATGCTTCCATGACAATACGTGCGAGGTTATAGCGCGCATCTGGTGGTAAAACAGGGAACTGAAAGCGTCCGGGCGTAACTTATACTCCTCCGCCAGTCCGTCATGAACAGTGAGCTGATACTTCAAGAGTGTGTGTTTTACCACAGAGCTTTCGCGGAGGAGATATACGGGCTTCACTTCTGACATGCAGAGGCTATCGGTGCGACACAATGGTCGCTTCATACAGTGTCATCCCTCGGACCTCACGTTTTGTTCGCGTAGTTTGTGCAAGTGATGTGGGGAACATGAGTCTATACCAAATGAGACGTAGCTTAAGCTCGAGCGTGACGATTTAGATTAAAGTCCAGTAGCCCCTCGCGTCGTTTAGTTCGAAATGGAAAGAAATAGGCCGTAAATACTATCTGTCGCGCTTCGGGTGGTACCGCTCAAAATATTGAAAGAAAAGAGCCATACTAGACCTAATAAAATAGCCATACTAGACCAAAGCTTTTTTGTCAAATAGAGACATAAACGTAGGGTGCGCTGTTATCGGTGACAAGCTTAACTGTAGAGCCCCACACAATGAAGACTTTTCACAATCGCAGTTGTTCTTGCAATTGGCAATCCTCCCGCTTGATCCCGTTGCCAATGGAAGCTTTGCATTCTCAAGCAGACTTTCTTTTTCGCTATTTTATATCGAAAACTTACGAATTCTCCCAATCTTACAATTTAAAAAGTGACCGATAACAGGGTGACCTTGCCTAGAATTACACGAAACCAATGAAATCGATTGAGGAGCTCCCGCCGCGGTGGTCTAGTGGCTAAGGTACTCGGCTGCTGACCCGCAGGGCGCGGGTTCGAATCCCGGCTACGGCGGCTGCATTTCTGATGGAGGCGGAAATGTTGTAGGCCCGTGTGCTCAGATTTGGGTGCACGTTAAAGAACCCCAGGTGGTCTAAATTTTCGGAGCCCTCCACTACGGCGTCTCTCATATACAGATAGTGGTTTTGAGCGTTAAATCCCACATATCAATCAATATATCGATTTAGGAGCTATTGATATTGAACCACGTCAAACAAATCTTGGCACATTCGCAACTAAGTAAAGTAATTCTTTTTCATTGCCCCGTACTTAATGTGTATATGTGTCTATTGGCCACATGACGTTGAACGACGCTGAAGTTGTGAACTCACTCGGTTCTTGATATGGGAACCACAATCTAATACCGGCTGCTTATTGTTTAGCTTTGTGGCCTCGGGGATCACATTTGGGTAAGACCGTTCAAGTGCGTATAGCTGGTGGTGACCGCACTCTTTTACACTTAGGAATTAGCTATTTTAGGGGCGAAGCTCCTTAGGCTGCGACTCGTTCCCTCCTCTGTAGTAGTAGTAGTAGTAGTAGTAGTAGTAGTAGTATGTAGTCACCTCTAGTTTATGAAGTACTCAATAAAGGGCGTTGTGTGAGTATGTCCTTGCAAATTTCACTAGACAACGTTCGGGGTTTTCGTATAGTTGACGATTTCGTGTAGTTGATGGACGGACGGATGAAAGCACGGACGGATGCATGAACGCACGAATGGACAAACGGGATGTGCTGTGATCACACCGTATCCACGGAGTAAATGATAATGAATGGGGCGAAGCGTCCATCTGTCCGTCCGTCCATGTGTCCATCCGTCCGTGCGTCCGTCCGTTCGCCCGTGCGTACGTACGTCTATGCTTTTGTCCGTCCGTCTGTTAATCTGTACGTGAATCCATCCTTGCGTCCATCTGTCCGTCCGTGCTTCCATCTGTCCGTCTGTCTGTCCGTCCGTGCTTACGTCCATCTGTCCATCCATGTGCCCGTCTGTCCGTGCTTCCGCCCGCGCTTCCATCCATCCGTCCATGCTTCCTACCGTCCGTAAGTCTGTTCGTGCTTCCGTCCATCTGGCCATCCATGCGTGACGGCAGTACGAACGGCCGGACGCATGGACGGACGCTTCGCCCCGCTCCTCATCATTCACTCCTTGGATATTCTGCGAATCTTTTTAATGCGAATATCACTCATACCTACCCTCATTGACTTCAGCCTGACAGGCAGCCAGGCAGGCAGCCTACGGCTGCCTGTCAGCTTTTTAGCATTTATATAAAAATGTAGCAGCTGAGGGGGTATAAAGCTCAACCTCCCCACAGCAAGACACTTATACCAGAACAGAAACGTCGCTCTTGCGGTGTGCGATAGCAGCTGTGTTCTGTGTTCCAGGTGTTCACACTGGCTACAGTTCACTGTACTACTGGCCTTGAGCTGCACGCGTATTTCTTTTAGTTTTGTTTGTTTTATTATTATTTTTGGCGGACGTCTTCTTCCGACTCTGGATGCGCAGACGCTGCACGCCCGGTACGTGCTGCTGGTACTGCACGAGGCGCGTCGCTACCTGCAGACCAAGCCGAACGTGAGCGCCGCCTCGACGGCGTTCGCCAAGCAGATCACCGTGGTGGGCGACCTGCACGGGAAGCTCGACGACCTGCTCACCGTCTTCTACAAGGTATGCGCCTCATATATCAATGCGTACTTCTTAAAGCATACTTCCCGGATGCTCTTTTACTTACATGGCGAGTACGAACGAAATTCTTCTAAATTGTAAATTTCACAGCTGACATCGCTCTCACGAAGGATGATTCTGCCTTTACTGCGGAAGCGGTTATGAGATCACAACACGGATCGCGCGTGGCGCCGTAGTATAGTCCCCGTAGTAACCGCTATCCCCCCGTAGTAACCGCTAGTCCCCGTAGTAACCGTTATCGCACGAAATATGAAAAAAAAAACTCTGTGAATAAAAAACATCAGGGACACAATAGAATTTGAACCCGTGTCTTCTGCGTGCCATCCCAGTATTCTACCACTGAGGCACGCCGGTTTGTTTTTTCTCCGTTACATTTTTGCTCATTATACAATAAAATACAGTGCATAAACAGTGCATACACAGGTAACAAGCAGGATGGTTACACAGTCATTAGAATTTTTTTATACGTATAAGTAGCTCGAACTGTTCGAGCCACTCTGGTACTGGGTCTTTCATTTTACAGTCTTCAATAAGGTTCACGATCGCTTGGCGAAAATATTCATGAATAGGCAGAGTATCTATATAGGCATGGCAGACTGCCATGTATTTTTCTCCTAATACTGTGAAGGCCGAGCAACAATACAGTATCATAAAGTGCGCCATCATCTTTTTCATTAACTCGTAAAAACCTGATCCCGTAGGCATCTAATGGTAAATCTTTTTTTGATAGTTCTCAGGAGAATGTCTGCGAAGAACACACCTCCCTAACAATCCAGAAAGGCATGTTCGATGGTTTCAGGTTTACGACAGAGAAAACAGTGCGCTCCTCATGGTACAAACAGTCCCATTTCTTGCATCCACGTTTTAACGTCTAGAGTTCCTGTATGGAGCTTGAAGAAAAAATATTTTGAACTAGATGAGAGAGCCATTTTTTTTAATGGGGCCTGTACATTTTGGCCATGTCCAGCAGGATACAAACTCATGTAAAGTGGTAACAGTAAAAAAAATGTCAAGAAGGTCTTTATAGAACCTTTTTCATTTTACTCCCGCTACATACTTGCTCTTCGAAGCCTCAGCTGAGTAACTTCATGTAAAAACAGATGTCTTGTGTCTCGAACAAAAATAAAGCAGCTAACGACCTGCCTTAAAAAGAAATATGACTGACTAAGCCAACCAAACACGGCGAAAAAGATTAGTGTGACTCGACCATTTCCACACTCATCCTCCTATAAACCCTGCAACACGCGGTGCAGCTTCTGCACGTTTACGCGCGAGCAATGCAACACCTGTAATGTGTCCCGAGTCTGGAGACAAAGATTACATATAGCGGCCTGCGTGAAAATCGAAACGTCAAGCGAACTAAGCACAGATGCCGTCGGTGTAGTTGGGAGAGACTTATAAATGGCACTTTCACAGTTGACCGCTTTCTCGTCGCTCTCCAACTTCACAGAACACTGCAGCCAAAAGAGCGATCACACCCAAGTTTCGCTCGTAACCAGTGTTATGCGGGTTAATGCTTAAGTTTTCACGAACAAGCTAGCAAACGTGTTCTTATGGGTTAGTTGGTTCGAGCATAGTATATTCTTCATCCCGTCGTCTACACTGTTACGCCACTATAAGCTAACAGAATATTAGCGCGTTTGGTCTACCACTTCATTTTTTAATGAATACTTTTTTATGAACGCGCGAGCGAACACAGAGTCTGACAACACTGGTGCACTCACGAACCGTGACGTAACAAGCCGCTTGCTTTGCGAGCGTCAATCATTCGGCCAGTGATTTTGTTTCGAGGTCAGCTACGCGTACAGTAGAGCTATATCACTTTTTTCTGCTCAGCATCCAGAAGAGAATAATTCGCAATATTGAGGGCAGAAGACGACGGCTCCACTCTATAAAGCATATGACATCATATGCACACTGTTTCAAATGGCGGTCGCGGGCAGTGAGCGAAGTTTATAGCTGGTGGCTTCTAGGGCTTGTCTTGGCTTCAGGTATTCTTCTAAAGTCTATTTCTCATACATGCGCAGGGACAATAGGCTCCCTACTTCTATTTTTCACTAAAAACCAAAGTTTGGCGGACGGTCGTGCCATGGCCCTTTTTAATTGCAGACAGAGCATTGCTGGTGACAGTACACCTGGCGGCGAATGTTCACGGTATTCGTGGACTTCCTTGCCAATGCAGATTTATACTGCGTTAGCGCACGACTCATATTCAACCGAGTGACTAGATAGGTCGCAAGAACAACGTTAACTAGGGGTGACCTTCCCATACAGTACATCTTTCTAGATATTTTTGGCCTCCCGCAAACGTTTTCTGGAGGGTGCCCCTATTAGTGCACGCAGTGTCGTCCATGTCGGCTGTGTGTGTTGCCCCGAGGCGGTGGCCGCAGCGACACGCAGTGCGTCATACCACGGAGAAAGAGCATGGTAATTGAAAGCGGTGCCACAAAGCAGCTGCATGGTTCCACTCGACTGATCAATTTCCATTCATTCCTTCGGTGCTTTTAGCCACTTCAACCTAGATGACGGCTGTCTCAATGAAGTTCGAATCCAATTTGAAACGAGTCGAAACAATGTTTTCTTTACTATCGGTTAATCTTTGTTCTTTCTTCCTCACTGGTTTCTCTCCCTCAAGGATATTCCCCCCTAACTTACGGGCTACTTCATTTAGTATACTAGCAACCAAATATTTTGTTAGTTCAAAGGAATCCTTGGTACCTGCACAGCATTTTTCAAATTTTCATGGGGCAAAACTAACCCTGAGCTTTGATATGAGCAGTATTTATATTAATCATCAATTGCTAGAATGGGCATGTATTGTCAATTCAAATTGTTCAATAACGCTTTTGTCACTACCGTCGAATATAACCCTCCTCCACCACCATATACGCTATATCGATCTCTTACTTCAAGCACTTTTCATGGCTTACCGAGTGAATTGATGACACTTATTGCTATTACAGAAGCATTTCGTTGCTTTTCCACTTTGTTGTATAATTTACCATATTACACGCGCTCTCCTTTTCTTCAAATGGAAGACTGCAGATGACGTGAGCTGTTCCATTGTTGTTGTTAATGTTGTTGTTGTTGTTGTTGTTGTTGTTGTTGTTGTTGTTGTTGTTGTTGTTGTTGTTGTTGTTGTTGTTGTTGTTGTTGTTGTTGTTGTTGTTGTTGTTGTGCGACGTCATTCGCGGAAGTGTGCTTCTGCGTGGCGGGTTCTTTTTCTCTCATTTCTTTTATTTTACTCTTCAACAACGCTCAACGACTAGAGTGGATCGGAACAGTCAGTGGTCAACCATACTCAAAACGCCCCACGTTGAAAAAAAAAGGAAAACAAAGCATAACTGTCACGCTCCCCAACTGCCATATTCTCCAGCTTTCGCTCGCGTCAAGTCCATTACCAACTCCCGAGAGGCTAGTTCGTAAGACGACGTTTCCGTTACGAGCTTAACGGCGCGCCAGAACTTGCCAATTATCGAGTTATCGCGTCGGCGACTTAGCGTCCAGCTTTACCGCGGCATTATATATGTGAACTCGCCGAAAAGTTCTTCGCTCAAGACGTGACACAAGTTGCTCCGTGTTCGTCGCACCAGCAGGTCGCTAAGATTCTCCGCGGGAAGCGAGAGAGCGCCAAAATCTGTGTGCGGCACAGGCTTTTTTATAAAGTCTTTAAATGTTTCATTTTCACTTTTTTGTTTGTCGTATCTCATGGCGTCGTCCTCCTTCACCAAAGAGCGTTTGATTCTGACAGTTCCGCAGCCTGTGTTTGGAGAAAGATTGCCGCGAAAAGGAAAGAGAAGAATAGAAAAGAAGAAAAAAAAAGAAGGAATGAATGAAAGATAAGGAAAAGAAAAGAAAGAAACAAAGAAAGAAACAAAGAAAGAAAGAAAGAAAGAAAGAAAGAAAGAAAGAGAAAGAAAGAAAGAAAGAAAGAAAGAAAGAAAGAAAGAAAGAAAGAAAGAAAGAAAGAAAAAGAGAAAGAAAGAAAGAAGCGCGATTGGGAGCCCAATTTGGAGCACCGTACCGACAACCTTATTTCCAGACCGTTCTTTTGCCCCCGTCCTTACCTTACAACGTAGCTACGCTTTGCGGCGGCCGAAGTCGGTCGCAAAAGGAAGCGCGGGTTCCCTTTGGCCTTTTCTTCCGCAGCGGTGTGCGGGGGACGTGTTACGCCGTTCGGAGTTGTTTCGACCGTGTTCCGAGGCTCTGACGAGAACGATGACCGCAGAAATACACGGGGTGGGAAGGACAGGCTTCCTCTTTTTCGCGCCTGACCGGCTCCTCTTTCGTTATGAAATGTACGGAGGTGATCTTGCGGTTTGGACTCGCGTCTCTGGTGACAGTTCGTGTGGTCACGTTTGGTAGTTTTTTATTGCGTGTCGTTCCTGTCTTCCACACTCGCGATGTTTGACGACGACGACGTCTCCTTTTCGAAAACCGACGACGTATCATTTTTCACTTCCGCCTATACGAATGGTCTGTGAGCCTTGCTTCCCTCCCCCCTTCTCCCAATAAAAAGAACCCAGCGGTGAGTGAAAATGGACGATGACGAACAAAACTTTTAATCAACGTCACCGGCGATACGGGAGAAAGTTGGCCGTTCTTAATCATCTGTCGGTTGGTGAAACGTGATATACTTATTTTTTACGAACAGGCACGCTTTTGATGTCGCTTCCGTTATTTTGAATTCGCGGCCTTTCGGCTGAAAGCGCGCCGTACAAAACACCGTCGCCTTCGACCCGTTCCCGAAATAATGGACGTCAGCGAGACCGGGTTCGGATTACGCGGGTTATGCCGTTGCGAGTGAACCGAACGGACGGAGGAAATGGTGAGCCCCGGTGTAGCGAGAGAAAACACCCGAATCGATGGTTTTTCAGCCTTTGTTCGCCTGCTTGTACAACAGGAGAACAGCACGAGAGATGAAGTTCTAGTTGGCGTGACATGTAATACTGTTCGATTGACGGGTCAGTTTTAGGCTAAGAGAGACGATGCAAGATGAGGGACAAAAAAAAAAACACGGAAAAGCTGAAAGTATGTCGTCCTCTGAGATTTTTTTTTCACTGCAGTATTGCTGCATTCTGCATTCGTCTCATTGCGTGCAGTGACCTACAGTAATAGTCACAGAAAACGTAACAAGAGCAATGAACAAACGAATAGTTCTGTTCTTCATCTGGAGAAAGACTCCTAGCCTCAGCAAACTAGGATGGTTAGGTTAGATTAGACTAGTTCATATTGTATCATATCTTGTATACGTCTCTTCATGTGTCATGGAGAAGCTACAAGCTATAAGCTGGAGAAGCGTGAACGCCTGCTATTGAATTCGCACGTGCTACTACAATCACATCTTAGGAAAAAGCTTCGTTTTTTTTTCTTTAAATAACAAACATTGCTTTCACTTTGTGATACAAATCGACCTTTGCTTGCTGTTTAAGGGTATGAGCACGTTCACGAGTAGAGAAAATATATACTTGCATGCGTGCGCGCGGACCTCTGCAGAGACAGTTTGTGTTGCGATCTTTTGTTCGGTGGCTCATGCGCAGAACGGCCTGCCCTCGAGAGATAACCCGTACGTGTTCAATGGGGACTTCGTCGACCGAGGCATGCACTCGGTTGAAGTGCTCATGCTGCTGCTCGTCTGCATGCTCGTATGGAGGGACGCCGTCTTTCTCAACAGGGGAAACCACGAGGACTTCAACGTCAACCTCAGGTGCGTGTGTCTCTCAACATGAGCGCAGGCGCGTGTTGTAGCAATGAAAACTGGCATTTACTTTCACAACTGACCTCGAAGTGTCAACGTCAGCCTTAAATTACCCTCGTAGCGTGGCTGCCGTGTAACGCTCTCCCCATAGGTTACGTTAATGCGCGGGAGATATCACGTCTGTGTCGGAGATTAGACGGTATTATTTTTGATCCTTTACGTTGCGGTATTGTTCTCGGCCCGTTCGCCTATACAGACCGTCTCTGCCACATGTTGGTGGTAGACCTGTAAATCTATGTATGTGATTTGGCACACAAAGAATTACCATTTTATGGCGAAATGTAAACTTGTACGCTTAGTCTATATCACAGTATATGTGTAATAATATGATATCCTCATTTGCAATTTTTGTTAGCTTCAGTTACCTAGTGAAATTGCCACCCCAACGCTGCTCCCCTCGCTAGATAATACGTGTTGGTGCTGTCTTGCACATGTTCAAGAGCTTATATTCTAGCATCTTGTATCCATTCATGCTCAGGATGCGTATCACTCTGCGAAAGCCAATGTCCATTGTAAGTGTTACTGCTGCCTGTATACGTTCTGCTTTCAATAAAGACACCCCCCCCCCCTACTCCCTCTCTTTCTTTCTCTCCAACTAACATTCGGCATGAGCCGTAGATACAGGAATATAATGCATCCGTTGTGCATCTTTAAAAGTATAGAAACAGCTATGTGATGTTCTTAATATGATTTTTACGTGTTATACTTTCTACAGCACAGTTTTGCCTACGAGATAGAGAGAGAGAGAGAGAGAGATGGGTGTGGAGAGAGAGGGATGTATATACCACTGGAAGGCAGAAGAAGAAGAAGAAGAAGAAGAAGAAGAAGAAGAAGAAGAAGAAGAAGAAGGAAGAAGAAGAAGAAGAAGAAGAAGAAGAAGAAGAAGAAGAAGAAGAAGACACTTTGCACAATCCAGCAGTTAAGTAAACATAGCAGAAAGCGTTCACCAATTCTAGTATGTACGCTGGTAGACCTCGGTGATTCCTGCAACGCAAGTACAGCTTTTTGCGTGACGCATTGGCTTGTCTAGTACCTTTACCCTTTCCGGTGATAGTAGTCATGGCACTGGACTGCTGACACATGGGCCGCAGGTGAAGGGTTCGAATCCTGGCAGCGGCGGCCGCAATTTCGATGGAAGCGAAAATGTTTGAGGCCCGTGAGCTCAGATTTAAGTGCACGTTCAAAGTCCCGGCTGGTCTAAATGCCCTCGCAATGATATCGTTGTTTTGGGACGTTTAGTACCTATCATTCTTGTAATGCGCGAATGTCCAAGCCTGTCCACACAGCTCTGTGCACATCTCTTGTCTATGAGCTTACAAAAAACAAAGAACGCGCATGAAAGCTTTGTCGTAGCTGCACTTGTTGCACGTAGAGCTTTGTACCATTCCTACAAGCTAGTCGTCTAGGAACTATCGTGATATGCGACGCGTAACCAGATGAATACCTCCTCAATCGTACGTATTGTGATCACCTTTTATGATGGTTAACAAGCAGTTAACTCACTGTAGACACGATGGATTCTTTCCTGCGTATACTTACCTCTACCACTTGTGTCATTGATCGAATCGTAGTGAAGCGAGAGTATACCAGCTTGAGCGTGAGCCAGAACATTCGACCATCGACCGTTTCGTTTTGAAAGGCGCTCCCGGGCTTGACAGCGGAGGCCCGTTACGAGTGGCTCGCTCTACTCGACGGCGTATTGATGTACCGGGGCATCAAAAAAAGAAAGAAAGATAAGAGGAGGAGCAGGTGATGGGACGAAAAGGACGAGATGTAGACGTATAGGTTGAGACAGATGTCTGTGTCATGGCATCTTCGATCGTTCCGCGGCTGGCATAAGTGGCATATCGAAGCCATCGGCGACGCACCGGCGTCCTGCAGTATAGGCGGGGGCCCTGGCGTGTGATGACCGTGTTCGAAAGTGTTTCGGGCTTCCCAACGCGGTTTTTCTTTTTCCTACATTCGCTTTTCTTGTCACGCCCCACGGTGGGCATTACGTTGACGAAAACGCATCTCGCAAATCATAGCGGATGCGCGTCTCGTCGTTGACTATACGCGCACGCCTCGAAAAAAAAAAGAAGACAGCAATGACACCAAGGAAAAGATAAAGCCTTGCACAAAGCGTTGAAATCTTCGCGCGTGGAAGAAACCGGCAATACGAGGAGGGTAGCACGGAGGTGCCCCCGAGTTCCAAAGAAAAAACATTCGTGCGGAAGGATAAGAAAGCGATTCGTATTTTGACTGTGAACAAGGCTCCCGTGTGGGGAGCCGAAACGTCTTTTTAAGTTCTGTGTATTTCACCTTGGTCGGCGTTTTTGTTTTTGTTATTTTGCGCTATGTTTGTCCCCGACCCGACGGGACTCCGTCGGACTCTTGACTATCCGTATTTTGAAAGGAGCCCGACTCTAATTCGGGCTGTGATCTGTTCGCCCACGTTGACGCGTGATATCGTCGGACCGAGTTCGAAAAGGCGTTTCGCTGTTATAGAGGGCGCGTGGAATTCATCGACGGCTGAAGCGTGGGAGGTACGCGCCCCGCTGTCCTTCCCGGTCGTGAGGAACGTCAAAACTTGATGGCCGTTTAAAATATTCCGCGTTGGCCGCGACGCCGCGAGGGACTGTTTGCCTGTGAACTAGGGCGTGCTCGCGTCGAGGAAGGCAAGTGAAAAAGCGCCTAGTACACGCAAAAAAAAAAAAAGAGTCGGTGGCTGAAGGAAAAAAAATGAAGGAAAACGCTGCTGTATTGATAATTATAATTCGTTGCACGATCGCTTGGTGCTCGAAACCTTACTCTGCATGCTGTACAGAAAGGAGCTAGGCTTTAGTTTTATGTATATGCATATCTACATTTCTCTATCTTCCTTTCGCGCTCGCCAGACTCCCAAGAGCCAAGATGAATGCAAACATTGTTAGCATCCCTGCCATCTCTTTACTACCTTTTCCCTCCCCTTCCTCCCCCTTCGTCACCAATATTTTGACAATCATCCTCATCTATCTATTGCTCTAGACCGCTTTCGTCTCGTGTCCTGTTGTTGCCCATTACTATCTTTAATGCATGCTCACCACTAATATTTGCCAATTTTTTCCATTCCTGCACTTCATTTTTACGCACCGCTATTTTTTTTTACGAGAGCGTTTCTTAGGCCCAAACAACGAAACGTTCCTTTCCTTTGACCGCGTCCTCTCCTTACGTGAGGCTTCCTTACAACCAAGTACCGACGGAGGAAGCAAGCGTACTCTGAAAGCTCCCTTAACCCGTCCTCGCGGGAGGAATGGTTGCCGCGCTCCTGCGTTCGAGATTATCGAATATAAGCTTTGCTCACAAGCGTTTATTCTGTAAAAAAAAGTTGGGTCACCACATAACTTCCAAATTTAAGTGTTAATATAGAGACGCGTGCACGCTTTCTTCCAACTACGATTACTGAATGTGAAAAGCCACCGTAGTCGAGCGCAAAACGTGGTGCTCGCCGCTCGCGTCTCCCCGCAGAGGTGGGGTGGGAGGGTTGCCTCGAAAACGAAAACATCACGTGGGCTATCTGTGAGGCGAAGCGCTCGTTCAGGGCAAGGAGCGGACCTAAGGGCGCACGAAGGTAGCCCCAAAGCAACCTTAAGCTGAGGAAGCGCCAAGGAAGCCTTTACCGAGGGCTCCTCAGTGAGGAAGCTTTCAGAGTGACATAAGGCGGCCTCACAAAAATGAAGGCTTCCTCACTGAGGAAAGGAACGTTTCGTTGTTTGGCCCTTAGTTTGCACGCACTGACTATCTTTTTGAATACCACCATGCAGCACATGTCATGTGCTTATTCGTGATCCGCGTTTAAAGAGAGAGGGTAAAAGGTAGAATAAAAAACAGCTATTTACTCCTATGAAAACGTAGCTTGCGAATGTATTGTGCACGCCAAACTGAAATGGACGCGCTGATATTCGCATACCCAGAGTTTTGTGAACACCCAGAGTTTTGTGATCCTATACGATTTCTATGAGCTCACTGGTGTGTCGTGTCGCATGAACTTGTGGTTCCGGAAAAATAAGTTATACAGTATGCTGTTTGTGACTGTAACATGTTCATACGCCTTCCATAGCATGTTTGTCGTTTCCGAGAGATGGCATATCGAAGGGATGCAACTTTTGATACAAACACGCGAGAAAGGCGCATTGGATGTCTTGATTTATTGGCACAGTATTCTGGTAGTGGTAATAACTACAAATCTTGAATGCTATAAGAACCACGCAACACTGAATATTTGTGAAAAACCAGAGTATCATGCCCAAAAACGTGACCGTAATCGTTGTTGAATACTACTAACCCGCATTTTGAATAGCTGTGTTTTCTAATAACACGTATACCAACACTCTTTGTGCTTTCTTTGCCTGCGTTAATTGCCAAGCTCACAACATGTAACATCACTCCGGACGAACACAGTGGGATCACCTCTTCGCTTTAATTACGCCGGCTAGCTAAGGCTCCGATAGAACTCTGAGCGTGCCACATTTTTTAACCCAATGCCTTTGAAGTTTACGGAACACACTTATTAGTTGATGGCTATGCTTTGCTTCCTTCTCAGGTATGGATTTCTCAAGGAAATCATGTTCAAGTACACAGTAAGTACCTCTCCCCAAGTTGCTTTCTTTTGAATTTGTGCTCTCAAAAGTATACGCTTCAGCGACCACGCCACAATTCGGCATTGTAAACAAGCAGGCATGGCGCGTAGTTCACTTCGCAGTGATCTTGTATGCAAGTTGTATTAAACAGGTTCGTGGTGTGAAAACGGTCAAAATTGCCCCGCCGTGGTGGTCTAGTGGCTAAGGTACTCGGCTGCTGACCCGCAGGTCGCGGGTTCGATTCCCGGCTGCGGCGGCTGCATTTCCGATGGAGGCGGAAATGTTGTAGGCCCGTGTACTCAGACTTGGGTGCACGTTAAAGAACCCCAGGTGGTCAAAATTTCCGGAGTCCTCCACTACGGCGTCTCTCATAATCAAATGGTGGTTTTGGGACGTTAAACCCCACAAATCAATCAAAACGATCAAAATTGAAAACAAAAAGCCAAGAATTGTGTCCTGTCTGCGGATCCACGCTTCTATAAGGAGAGAGAAGTCAAGTGCACGCATTGTATATTATTGCGGGAAGAAAAAAAGGCCCACGTATTATGTTTCACCTTTGTAAATGACATGGTTTCTCTTTCATTTCAAGCGTTTTCTTGGATATCAATACTGGAGTAAGCAACGAGCGAAATGTGTTTAACAAGATATTCAAAATACTCAGTGGTTGACTAGGCGGTGTCTTCGCGTCTTAAGAAGTCGACGGCCTTTCATAAAACTTTGCTACAGTGCAACAATTAGAGCGATGGCTGTACAACACGCGCCGGCAATCCCTGCACTGTGTTTGAAAAGCTCGCATAGGTAGTGCAGTCATCGTCTTCGGCCATATATTGTTTTCAATCATCTTCTTCATCAGCCAATTTAGATATGAGAAATATTTGCGCCTTAGTAAAGAATATCTGCAATGTTTACATTCGCTAAATTTCTGTATGTGCCACCCACGGAAGTATAACAGGCCTCGCGCGAATCCCTGCCCGTGCAAGTTGACTTTATTGCCTGTGGTCTCTCCTCATACAATGCTGCGATGCAATTCTCGTAATCGTATGACAGCACTGTGTATGCTTCTCGCTGCCCATTGACGTACAAAAAAAGCACCGCTTGAAAGCCATACAACCTGTAGATTTATCATGTTGTATTTAATTCATGTGCGGAGCGATGCAGTTCTGGGGAGGAATGCCGTAACGTGCCTTCGCATGCTTCAGCACCATAGCTGCATGCGCTGGCCACAACCGGGTGAACTCTAATGTCAGAAAAGATATAGGAAAGCGCCCGCGCCACCAACCATATTTCAAGTGTAATCATTGTGATGCAGAGAGCCCCACCGGGGTGGTGCTAAGGTACTAGGCTGCTGACACGCAGGTTGCGGGATCGAATCCCGGCTGCTGCGGTTGCCTTTTCGATGAAGGCGAATATGCTGTAGGCCCGTGTGCTCAGGCTTATAGGGACACGTTAAAGAACCCCAGGTGGGCGCAATTTCCGGAGCCCTCCACTATGGCGTCTTTCATAATCATATGGTGGTTTTGGCACATTACACCCCACATATCAATCAATCAAGTGTGATTCTGAGCGTGTTATAAATACAAACAATGTGACGTAGGAAGCGTGCTTCCGCAACTTACCTATACGTCAATCTATGTGCACGTAATTGTTTTCGTTAGCAGTGAACCACGGTGATATTATTTGCATTATAGCATAGGCTGAAATCAGTTTAGAACACGCTAGGGAAAGTTTCGGCCTTTTGTCAACCTTATTGAAACCATTAGAATGGCTCGTCTACTCCATAGCGTGATCATTCGCGTGTGGTAAAGTCACACCTATTATTTCATTTCGCAGCGGCAAGCCTCCAAGATCGTGCAGCTCACCGAGGACCTGTACAGCTGGCTTCCCGTGGCGACACTCATCGACAATCGCGTATTCGTCGTTCACGGGGGCGTCTCCTCCGTCACTGACCTGAAGATTGTATCAGCCATCAACCGGCACCAGGTGACGTTATCGTAGAGTGAACATCTTGCGCTAATCTTGACTACAGATGCGCGACAAAGCCCAGCCAGATGGAATGGGTCAGTAGCGCCGGTGTAGATCAAACTTCGCCGTCATGGTTTTAAAACAGGACTTTGTATCTTTACGAATTGACAGCCTTTCATCAAACTTTGCTACAAATGCAACAATTACAGCGATGGCTGTACATACGCGCAGGAACTCTTTGCATTGTTGTGTATAAAGAACTATTGATGCCTTGAATTTTAGAAACATTAAGGGTAGTAAGTAACCTGAAAAGAATAGGTCATATGTAACAAGAAATGAATATGGCGAGAATATTTGACCCGATCATCAGGATTGCACATAACCTTCAACGCTATGCACTATTTGTATACCGCAGGAAAAAAAGATATATTTTGATCTGTATTACTTTAATAAAGCAGATCATTGCCACCAATGGAGATTCTATGAAGAGGTCACCTAACTCAATTTGCACGAGTACTTTTGGTGCTTTCATTTACCGTTCCGTTATGCGACCGCCAATTGAAACCATGACATCTGTTCGGAATACCGCAGGAAAAAAAGATATATTTTGATCTGTATTACTTTAATAAAGCAGATCATTGCCACCAATTGAGGTTCTATGAAGAGGCCACCTAACTCAATTTGCACGAGTACTTTTGGTGCTTTCATTTACCGTTCCGTTATGCGACCGCCAGTTGAAATCATGGCATCTGTTCGACAACAGCAATATTGATCATTGCTATTGACCGCCGTATGAAGAGGATGAGCTATTTGTTTAGTCACTTATAGCGAACTTTCCCGCACCAAATAACAGATCTTCTACCAAATAATAATGACAGATTTTATGTGCTCTCAAATTTCAAATAATTCGATAGCCTCGGAAACTCTCGCGTTACTGTCTTCGTTACTCACATTTAGGCAATATAATGAATAGAACTTTGGGAAACTGGAGTATATTATACGCCACTCCCTTACGCTATCGGTGATCAAAGCCGGGTAACCCCAGCATTCAAGTGTAGTGCTCTGCGCACCGTACTACATATTTTACCTAACAGTCCAGCATTGGTCAGCGATCTCATTCGTGAGTCGACAAACTCAAGCTACATCACACTGACTCAGACTCAGATGGGAATGTGAGTCTGATTCAGTGTTTTGGGAAGCTTGAGTGCGAGTGACTTTGGTTGAGTTTTTTGAGCCCGAGTCTGAGAACATCTTGGGGCGTGGCGGAAAGCCACGCTGATCACCTCCGGTTGTGAAGATCAACTATGGGTAATCCAGAAAGCACGGGAGGCAGCTGGAAAATGGAGTCTCTGCGCTACCCCTGACACGGCCTATAAGCGCAGGCTGGTTTGAACAAAGTTGTTCACCACCACAACCATCCGCGTCTGAGTTAGCCCTAAGGGTAGAATATACATCTGGAGTGAGCTTGAGGGGGAACGGCACCTTTTTTTAGGGGCGAAGCTTCTTACGCCGTGGGTCGTTCGTCCCGTGTCGTCGTAGTAGTAGCCACCAATCGTTTAGTCCTTAGAATGTCTGCGGGATGGCGGTACTTGTATATAATGAATGTATGATGAAAAGGTGCGAGATGGCGGTACTTGAAGTGTTCACACTAGATGGACGGACAGACAGACGGATGGATGAACGGGTGGTTGGACGGACGGACGGACGGACGGACGGACGGATGAGGCAGTCAGGCAGGCAGGCAGGCAGGCAGGCAGGCAGGCAGGCTTACTGATGGACGGACGGACAAATGTATGCTTCACCCCAATCATCATTCATCACTCCATGGATATACTGTGATCTTTTTTTTTTCTTTTTGCCCACCTACGCACTTTAGTGCGTGGGGCGCAATGTCGTGTGTTTACTGCCACATTTGCCGAACTATGAAAGGACGTATCTTTCAACTTTTTTTTTTGTTTCCTTTGCAGTTCGTGACGGTGCTGCAACCACCGCTTCACCACGGTAGTTACAACGCCAACGAATGGAGGCAGGTGAGAGCAGCAACGCAGGCACGTGACGTCGGCCTTGATTTTCTTTCATAGCACGAGCACCTAATCGCAAATTTCAAGATTAATTAGGTTATGCACTGTTTTCTTACTGTGTTCATGTCTGACGCCGTAAACCTACGAGCACAAGGTGACAGCGCCGATGTGTACTCGCCAGCCCCGCCGCGTTGGTCTAGTGGCTAAGGTACTCGGCTGCTGACCCGCAAGTCACGGGATCAAATCCCGGTTGCAGCGGCTGCATTTCTGATGGAGGTGGAAATGTTGCAGGCCCGTGTGCTCAGATTTGAGTGCACGTTAAAGAACCCCAGGTGGTCGAAATTTCCGGAGCCCTCCACTACGGCGTCTCTCATAATCATATAGTGGTTTTGGGACGTTAAACCCCACATATCAATCAATCAGAATTAGGATGTATGTTCTGAGTAGAACATTTATTTTGTGACGGTGTCCAGGACAAGCTTCGTTTCACATGGACTCCAACGAGTCGGATATGATCATTCTTATTACGAATATAACACCCTGAATTCTTTGGCTCGAGGATTCGTAGACCGACGTGACCAAAACTTTTGTGCGGTTACTGTCCCGTAGCGCCCCACTATACTTGAATCGGTTGATGTGCAGCCCCACCTTAGCTGTACCGCTAAACATGTGCTGGTTAACAACGCTGCAAAGCGACGCAACGAAACGACAGACGGTACTCGCATATTCTCAGTGATACAAACAAGCTCATAAATATCGCAGTTCGTTTTAAAATGTACGCTGGTTCCTCTATAGGTCACGCAAGGCTAAAGCGTAGTGAAGCTAGTCGGTCTCATGATTTCCTATATTATATCGTGCACGTTGAACTTCACTGCTTCAAGGCTTTAACGTCGTGGTACTTGCTGTATCATGGTTAAACCTCACTGTTTTATTTCTGTGTATTCGGTATCAGCTTGTCGTTTCCTGTCTCTTGCATAGGGGTTGTTGTTGTTAACACGTCTTTATTCACATTTTATGCCCCTTGAGGGCTGCGGTGAATGTAGGCGGACCAGGCACTATAGGCTTAGTCTTGGGCGTGACAGCCATAACGTCAACTCGCAAGACGCTCATTATGACTGCACTTTTTGCATCCCCTTTTTTATTTTTTGTGTTTTCGTGTTTTTTTTTTTGTTTTCATATCTAATATCGCATAGGAGCGAGTCCCACTGCGCGAATCGTGGCCTCCTCCTCGGGAATAAGTACTTTCTTATTGAGACGCATGCTGAACACGGGTCACGCGCGGCGCCATAGTTGTCCGCCGCCGCCGCCGGTGTCCGTAACTAGTATAGAACAAAAAAACTCAGTTAATAGGAAAACGCCAATGGCACAATGGGGCTCAAAACCGGGTCCGCTGCATGCCAGGCCAGTATTCTACCACTGAGCCACGTCAGTGCTTGGAACTCGATTCTAAACTGGCCTTAGGCAGGCTTGACGTCGGGGAAGGAATCGCGTTAATATAAGCAATAAAACGTTTTAGAACATCAAAGAAACATCCAGGCGTCACACAATGCGAATTGCGTAACGAGTGGGTCGTCCAATGCTCCAACCCATTTAAAAACTTGTTCTTGATCACCTATTAACTGTGGCGCATACCCACTTCAGGCACATTTTTTTCATCATCGTCAGCCACTGCATATCGAAATTGCGCGAAATTTCTAAAAAGTATCTATAGCGAATACCACGCTTCTCCATAGAATGACGAAGGTTAGCATAGTAAATGCTGTCCTACAACACAAAATTTATTATTATTTATGGCGTAGCGGGTACCCAGCAGTGTTGCTTGTAGCATACCAAAATAGAGTTTTGAAAATGCTCTAAGAGGCCGCTATTCTAGCTTTCGTTGTGACTGTGCTGCGCGTTATGCGCAAGCCTGGCGCTTTTTGTTTGTTTGTTTGTTTGTTTTTCTTTAGCTCGGGCATGGTTGCTGCGAAGCTATCACGCGGCGCATATGCGGCTGCAGTTGGCACGTAGAAATGCTCGACTTGGCTCGAGTGCTCCGGCGCGGCCAACGCACAGCTGCTACCCCGGCGCACAAGCGGCTTGACATGACGTCACAACAGCGGGGCGAGGCGAGCGGTTGCCAAGTAACGGCGCGTCGAGGTTTTTCGCGATAGGGCGGGACACGTTAAAACTAGCTTTAAGAGGAGCTTCACTGTTAATGAAGTAAACCTCGTTTGTCAAGTTCGCGGTTTGGTGTTTGGTGCGCCTGCATACTTGTTCGTCCTTATTAGTGTTGGTCAGTATTGCACTATACTGTGAAACGCTGAGCAAGCAAGCCCCCCCCCCCTCCTTTTATGCGGTAAAATATACTCCGACTAGACTGGGAAGGGGGGCCTGGACTGGTCATTGGGGCTAATTTCAGTTATCCCGAAACAAGAAAGGGGTGGGGGGGGGGGCATTTGTTTGGGTGGGTGCGCTTGCTTGACATTTTACGATACGTCCAGGATCAGTTCACCGTGCAGTCAGCGAAGAAATCGGCTTAACGAGAACGTCTCTCCCCCCCCCCCCCCCTCTTTTTTTTCCTTACTCCAGCCCAGCAAAGAGGGCATGAATAATAAAACATGCGCTACACGCAGGCATGGAACGACGAGACTGAAAAATAACCCATCCTGGTACCGTTCCGATTTCTACACACTGGGACCGCTATAGTCGGTTGCTATACCTAAAAATAAACGTAAGCAGTGCCTACAAGCGTCCCTAGTGTATCCTCTGCAAATTGACGTAGACGTACCATCCAATCGCATTCACTTTTTGCATGACGTCAATCAGCTACTGGGGTATTTCGGGTAAATGCTTTTTTTTTTCATTCAGACACAACGTCTTGTCACCGGTTTTTGGTCAAAAAACTTTGATTACGGTTAAATTTTAGCAAATGTTTTTACATCAGTGCTCGGGGACGCCTGAGAATCAGAGGGTGAGGAAGGGATTGCGAACCTTTTGTTATTATAATGCATCGTGAGCTGAAAAATGATCTCGTGAAGACAGCAGAGACTACGTAACACGATTCTCTTGCACGCATGAATGGCGGACGCGCTGCAGTTCTGGGGGCAGAACATGAACTTAATCTTAAGTTGTAAACCACTATAGCTTTCACCTGTTACATTTGTACCGCACCTGTCTTTCGCAGCTGGTGGACCTACTGTGGAGCGACCCGCGACCCCAGCCCGGTTGCCGCCCAAACGAGATGCGTGGCGGCGGCAGCTTCTTCGGGCCGGACGTGACGCAGGCGTTTCTACGGAAACACAAGCTCGACTGGATTATCCGCTCACACGAGTGCAAGCCCGACGGATTCGAGTACACGCACAACGGAAAGGTGTGCATGGCGTCAGCTTGGTCTCCTATGTGGTTTAACCGCGTAAATGTCTCTCAATTATCCCGTAACAACAAAGCTTCAAGCCGTTGCGCGAGGCTACACTGGTTCAGACCTCTATGGGACGTGTGTTTTCCTTTTCATTACGCGCATTACTAATTATCACAGTGGGAAGGGCGTAGGAGTCTACGGGAAGACTGCCGTATTACTCGTTTAATACAAGCATCGTTCATTACTGCTTGTTAGTGTTGCTTAGCATGGGGATTTAGCATGATTAGAGATTAAGGGAAGTAATGATGACGAATCTCTCTAGTTAACCACTTATCAGAAATTTCATTTGTAATTTAATGCATGTACATTAATGCATGTCACAATATGCCTGACATACGAGATCAAGAACGCTTGGATATCTAAACTAATGAACAACGCAGGCAAGTGTTGGCAGGGTGCCTTGCTCCCCCTTCTCCTTTTTTGTTTCCTTTTTCTACGCTACTGCAGCAGTAGCGTCAAAAAAGACGCTACTGCTGCAGCCATTACTCTTATGCCTTTTCATTTCAAGATGGACGCATTAGATCCTTTCTGGAGCGATGTTGGGGATATCATCGTGGTGGGTCTCGGCCGCAACTAACTAAGTGAACCCAGAAGCATCGCGAATCAAGAAAAAAAATACTTTGGTTGGTGCGGTCAGTCGAGCTGCAGTATCGTATACAGTGCTCCGCGGCGGTGTGCGTAGCGGGAGGCTCCCTGAATGATTCACAGGCGACCAACATTTGGCGCGGCGGTCGCAAGGTGCCTGCATTGTTCGTCGCGGTGCGCCATTGCAACGTCTCCGCATTTCAGGGCACTTTGGACAATGAGGTGCGCGCTTTGTATCCGCACACGGCTCGCCGCCACGCCACCCGGTGACCTTACCTCGGGGAGAATATCGCAAGATCATCAGGCGTCCTTGCTGGCCGCCCAACTTTTACTATTAACGCCACAGCGTTTACAGTGGCGGCCAAGTGCGATGCGGCTTTCGTGTCCGCTGTGCGGGGGCGGGCCATAAAGGGAAGACGGGATGTAGTTATTCGCCGCGGGCTCTGGCCGGAAATGATCCGCAGCCTTCTCACACAATTACTCAAAGTGCGCCGCTCGCGTGGCTAATGTAGCAAATGGAAAATGATGCTGTTTTATTGAAAAGCAACCGTAAGTGAGCTAGGAAATGTAGGGCTCGTCATTCAGGGCAGATGCTGTTTGGGACAATTTCTTCTACTTTGGTCCTTGCGCCATGCCGAGAATATGGTTTCCGAAGGCGGTGGGCTTGAAAAACTGCCCAAAGTGCACTCGTCTCTCTGAGCGATTGCGATGCATGCGTTCATAATCCGAACACATGTCATCATCATCATCATCATCATCATCATCATCATCATCATCATCATCATCATCATCATCATCATCATCATCAGCCTTACTACGTTCACTGCAGGACAAAGGCCTCTCCCATGTTCCACCAGTTAACCCGGTCCTGAGCTTCCTGCTGCCAATTTATACCCGCAAACTTCTTAATCTCATCTGCCCACCTAACCATCTGTCTCCCCCTAACCCGCTTCCCTTCTCTGGGAATCCAATTTGTTACCCTTAATGACCAATGGTTATCCTGTCCACGCGCTACATGCCCGGCCCATGTCCATTTCTTCTTCTTTATTTCAACTATGCTATCCTTAACCCCCGTTTGTCCCCTAATCCACTCTGCTCTCTTCTTGTCACACATGTATCCTTACATAAAGTCTTACGCGTGTCACGCGATGGGTTCCTTGAGCATAGATCCGGCTTGAGCAAGTCCTGGCTGTTCGGCATGTTCGCGACCGTTGCACTAGACCTGTTGGTGCCAACGTGGTACTAGCCGTGTTCACGACGGGTTCGCGTCCTTGCCTGACCTTTCGTAAACTAATTCATCACGTGGCCTCTCAAGCGTGACTAGCGCCACGAGCTCCGCGATCACTTCGTCTTTACGAAAGCGTCAGGTGATAAAGAAAATAAAAAATGGCGACCACCGCTGGTACAGCTTACGTGATGGAAAGCTTGCGCGGAGAGACGGCGCCTTCTTAGACGTAGACAAAAAAAAAAAAAAAAGCGGCGTTTGCGTGTCTCGGCATACGGGTGGTTATGGAATGACGCGCAAAGGGAACACGCAAAGTCAAGCTCTTGATTGCGGGTTAGACCGAAGCAGCGTGTATCACGCCAGAGTATGCTCGACAAAATTTTAGGGGCAAAGCTCCTTAGGCCGTGGGTCGTTCCCTCTTCCGTATGTAGTATGTAGCCACCTCTAGTTTATGACTTGCTCAATAGATGGCGTTCTATGTATATGCCCTTGGGAATAATATAACTATATAGCGTTTCACAGTATATCCACGGAGTGAGTGAGTGATGATTAGTGGGGCGAAGCATCCGTCCGCCCATCCGTGTGTCCAACCAGTGCAACCGGCGTTCAACCGTCCGTCCATCCGTTCGTTCGTGATTCTGGTCTTCTGTCCATTCATCCATGCGTCCGACCGTCTGTCTGTCCATTCATGCTTCCGTGCATCTGTATTTACGTCCGTGCTTCTGTCCGTCCGTCTGCCTGTTTATCCGTCCATACTTCTGTTCATCCATGCATCCGTCTATCCGTGCGTTCGTCTGTGAGTCCATCCGTCTGTACGTTTATGCTTCGGTCCGTCCGTTCATTCTTGCAGTCGTCCGTCCATCTGTGCGTCCGTCCGTGATTTCGTCCGTCCATCCGTACGTGCGTTCGTGCCTCTGCCCGTTTGTCCACCCGGACGCACGGGCGGATGGACACATGGACAGAGGCACGGACACACAGACGGATGGATGGAAGCGCAGACAGATGGACGGATGGACATAAGCACGCACGAACGCTTTGCGCCAATCATCATCATTCCCTCCGTTGACATGCTGTGATTTTTTTTTCTAGCTGGATTCAGCTTGACAAGAACTTAATGACGAACGAGGCGAACGTCGCATTCTGACGTGCAGTTTCAGCCTCTAGCATATCGCCATCATGGCTTTCGCCTATGTCCTATAACAAATAGTGCAAGAGACTCGAAATCTATTGGTTTCCATGACGAACGACGTAATGGTAAGCGCAGTCAGAGTCGATGGTCCTCCCCTCTTCTTTCTCTTTTCCGCGTACTGTGGTGAATAGAAATTTGTCTGGGTTCCTGAGTGCGCGCAGTCATCATTATCAAGGTTGTCGTGTCATCCCATTATTCCCTACAATAACGCAAGACGTTCTCGGATAATTGGGGCACTCAACTAAATCGCTAGCCGCCGTTCACTATTCTGGGGACCGCAGCGTGTTCCCCGTCGCTGTTTCCCTTTCCAAATCACCACGTGGTCCCTATAGCACACGTACCACGCCGTTCCCGTCATTTCCCGCGTCCGTATCTCTTTGGACAACCCCCCGTTGATTCTATTTGTGCGAAGACAAAGCGCCTTGATCTTCCAAACATTCTCTCTACCCTTTCAAACACGGGCGCGGACGCAGTCACCATACAGTAATTCACTTGCAGAACAATTATCCGTATACCCACGGGCAGCTACGCTTTGTCGCATTTAACTAGGCGCCTTGCTGCGCTGCGAGGAGGGAGGGGTGGGGGGCAACGTTAATTAACTCGGCCCTCGAAATCCCACGTGACAGCCACCCGTCTACACGTCACCGCGCGCTATTTTACGTCTGAGCTAGCGCGTATAGTATGCTCGAATCGCCCGCACCGCGGAGAGAAGACGTATTGCGAGGCTGTGTATATGGATAAAAAAAAAAAAAAAGAACGTGACCTCCTATACACGATGGCGCTACGAGAGACGGCGGCGGTCCTGTTTTACGGCCGCTCAGCGCCGTTTATTCATCCCCAGGCCGCTTATTTATAGCCGGCGCGTTTGCCGCCGTAATTGCGAACACTCCGTCGTCCCGAATCGAGTCAACGGTGAAGCGACACGGTTGGGGTGATTTCGCCGACCCTCCCGAAGCCCGTAGGTCCTTTATGAACCGCACATACATTCTGGTGTGTCGCTGCGCTCGCTGCCAGAGCCTTAAGACTGCGCTAGAAGCGAAGGAAGGGGATGAAAGTAGTGGAGCCCATAAACTTTTTACTCGCGAAAAAAAAAGAAAAACAAGAAACACACCAGCACAAATTTAGGTATACACGAAGGAGTAAAGGAGGAGGGGGTAAATTCCAGTCACCTATTAACACGTGCCTCTGCATGAGTTGAAACTATACTGATTTTTCGATCCCCCTTTGTCTCATATTCGAAGTTATCTTTCGATTAAAACATGTGGCTCTCGCAGTCCTTTACACGCGCTTGGATTCAAATAAATAAATAAATAAATAAATAAATAAATAAATCCAAGCCCTTACCCGACAGCTTGCTTGTTGCTCTACCTGTTGAGGAGCACAGCGAGTGATCTGACAAAATACTTTTTTTTTTATTTTACTCGGAGAAATCAGGAAGCGAGGTGAGCACTCGGCCAAAACGAGAGAGGTTTTCATTCTGCACCTTTAAACAACCTTCAAGCTCGGTTCATGTTTATGACAGCTCGCCGAGAATGTATCTGTCTCGCCGGAATTAATTTGCCCGTCAGGCTGTGTACCTTCCGCGAAATCATCCCTTGTAGAAAAAGAGACCTGCACACCCTCGTTTAATTTTCGTCTCCCACTCGCTGTGATGCAGCCTAGGTGAAATGAAAGTTTTTTTTTCTTTTTTTGGCGAGAGCCGTGTCTACATCAAGTGCTTCGCAAAGCTGCAATCAGCAGACGTGCCGCCAGCTGGGACACTCTTTGCCAGTGTAGCTGAGTGCGACATTCAGGCAGCTTGGACGTCAAATTGGGCGTATCGAGGAAATCGCACGTCGGGACGAACTCGCGTAATGAAGTTTTCGGAGGCGAGCGTGACAGTTGTCTGCCGCGAGAAAATTGTAAAATATCGTTACCGGGTTTGCCTCTTCGAGAAAAAAAAATCCGGCGTGA